CAGGGGGTCTTTCTGACCCAGGAATTGAACCTGCATTTCCTGTATTTGCCACTGAGCCACCAGGAAAGCCCCTCACCATGTGGCTATTTAGGACTAAATTAAAATTAAAAATTCAGTTTCCTCAGTCTACTAGCCACATGTTAAGTGCTACCACATTGCACAGTACAGATCTAATGTTTGGATCTCTACAACCTAGACACAACTCTATACAATACTCCGACTACAATCCCTCCAACTTTCTTGCTCCTAGAAAAACCTCATTTCCAATTAAATTCTTTTGCCCACTGTTCCCAACATTCAGTTGTCCACTCTGGATTTCCTATCTGCTTTTCAAACCACTTTCTATTATATTCCAAGCATTTCTCACCTCTTTTTCTTAGCGGGTAGCACTTATATTGGGTACCTACTTAACTTATTCCAGACACTGAAATAAGCATTTTGTTTACATTATATATAAACCTAATAATGTTGCAGATAGATTTTCCTGAGGAAAAGGAATCACAGGAGGATGAGTTAATCCCAGAAGTTCATCCTTTTCCAGACTACTATAAAAAATTCTGCCCTTTTTCAAGGTTCAGCTCAAGGACGCCATTCCTTAAGCTGTGTGTTGTTCCCAAAGCCTCAGTCCAACCCAACAATTTCAAACCTTAGTTTGCCATAATGTAAGCATACACATTCAGAAGTGAATTTATTCTTAAACTAAAGGAACTTGAGCATCAGGGAACTTCAATTGCCTGGATTCCTTTCAATACAATACCCTAAACTTAATTTCGATCACACAATTATATATACACTTACTTATTTATATAATTATATATTATGCATATATAATTTTTAAATCCCCCCAAAAAACTGAATAAACTCCCAAGCAAAAAAAATACATATATATCCCTTGGATAAACCCTAGAACTCTTGAAGCAAGGCCTATCTACACTGGACTCAGCTTACATTTTACCCCTTTATGGACACTCTATCCCTGAGGTCTGTTTTCTCTGGCTCCCAAGACTAGCTGTGAATATGGAGGTCAGCTTCCCCAGTTCTTTACTTTCGAGGTGGCTCTCCAAATAAACACACAACCCATTTTTCTTTTGGGAGTTTCAGAGCTAATCACAAAGGAAAATTAAAACAAACATAGGATAATTACAGAGTCTTATAGCATGATCCAAATTAATCTACAGATTCAACATGATACCAATCAGAATTTCAGTTGCCTTTTTTTCAGAAATGACAAACTGATCCTAAAATTTATATGGATATACAAGAGATACAGAATGGCCAAAACAATCTTGAAAAAGAATAAAGTTGGAGAACTCACATTTCCTGATTTCAAAACATATTGTCAACCTACAGTAATCAGGTCAAGATGTTGCTGGCATAAGAACAGAAATATAGAACAATGGGATAGAACTGAGAGTCCAAAAATAAACTCACACTTACAGTCAAGCAACAAGGGTGTCAACCATTCACAGGGAGACAGAACAGCTTCAACAAATTGTGTTGGGACAAGTAGCTATACACAGGCAAAAGAATGAAGCTGAACTTCTACCTCATGCCATCTACAAAAATTAACTCCAAAACGATCATTGTATAAAACTGTTAGAAGAAAACACAGGAGTAAATCTTTATGACATTGGATTAGGCAATAGTTCCTTAGATGGAACACTAGAAGCAAAAGGGACAAAAGAAAAAATATTAATAAGTTGGAAATCAAAATTAAAACTTTTGTAATCACCATATATACAGAACTCGAACCACTCAACAATAAAAATACAACACAATTTAAAGATGAGCCAAGGAGGGGTTCCTTGGTGGCTCAGTGATAAAGAAGTGTTAGTCACTCAGTCACGTCCGACTCTTAGCGACCCCGTGGACTACAGTCCTGTCCAGGCTCCTCTGTCCTTGGAACTCTCCAAGCAAGAAAACTGGACTAGGTTGCCTTTTCCTCCTCCAGGGGATCTTCCTGACCCAGTGATTAAACCTGGGTCTCCTGCACTGCAGACAGATTCTTTACTGTCTGAGCCATCAGCGGTTAAAAAAAAAAAAAACCAACCTGCCAACACAGAACGCACGGGTTCAATCCCTAATCATGGAAGGTCCCACGCGCCCCAGAGCAACTAAGCCCTGGGCCACAACTACTGAGCCTGTGCTCCAGAGCCTGGGAGCCACAATTACTGAGCCCAGGTGCCGCAACTGATGAAGCCTGTGTGCCCGAGAGCCCATGCTCTGCAACAGGAGATGCTGCTGCAATGAGAAGCATGTGCACCACAAATAGAGAGCAGCCCCCGTCAGTTCAGCTCAGTCGAGTCCGACTCTTTGCGACCCCATGGACGGCAGCACGACAGGCCTCCCTGTCCATCACCAACTCCCGGAGCTTACTCAAACTCATGTCCATTGAGTTGTGATACCATCCAACCATCTCATCCTCTGTCATTCCCTTCTTCTCCCACCTTCAATCTTTCCCAGCATCAGGGTCTTTTCAAATGAGTCAGTTCTTCCCATCAGGTAGCCCCCTAGCTAGCTGCAACTAGAGAAACGCCCTTCCAGCAATGAAGACCCAACACAGCCAAAAATAAGTTAAAGAAACAAAGAGCCAATGATAGAAAGACATCTTTCACCAAAAAAGATATACAAATGGTCAATAAGTATACGGGAAAATACTCAATTCAACATCTTTAGCTTACATATTAAAAAACCGCAATGAGATACCACTTCACATCCACTAGAATGGCTATAAATAAAAAGACAATATCAAGTGTAAATAGGATTAGAGAAATTGGGACTCTCAAATATTGATAGTGGGAATGTAAAATGATGAGGCTGCTATGGAAAACTGGCAGCTCCTCAAAAAGTGAAACAGTCCATGTGTGCTAAGCTGCATCCCATACAACCCAGTAATTCCACTCCTAGGTACCAAATCCAAGAGAACCAAAAACATTCACACAGGGCTTCCCTGGTGGTCCAGAGGTTAAGAATCCGTCTGCCAATGCAGAGCACACAGGTTCGATCCCTGATCCAGGAAGATCCCGCATTCCTCGGAGCACCTAAGCCTGGCACCACACTATTGAGGCCGTGCACCTAGAGACCATACTCCACGAGAGAAGCCACCACAATAAGAAGCCCAGGCACTGCAACTAGAGAAAGCCCATGTGTGGCAACAAAGACCCAGCAGAGTAAAAAATAATCTAATTTTTAAAAAATCACACAAAAACTTCACAAATGTTCACAGGAGCAATACTCATAATAGCCAAAAAGTGGAAACACCCCAAATGTCTATAAAATGATAAATGGATAAACAAAATGTGCTATATTCGTACACTGGAATATTAGCCGGTGAACTATTAAGTTCTGAATGGAAGTACTACAACAGGGATGAACTCTGAAAACATGCTAAAGCCAAACACAAAAGGCCAAATATAATATGGCTCCATTTAAATAAAATGTCCAGGAAAGGCAAATCCACAGTGACAGAAATTAGTTATTGCCAGGGGCTGGGGTTAAGGAGGAATGAAGAGTGCCTGCTAATGTTACAAGTGTCTTTAGGGGATGATGGAACATCCTAAAATTGACTGTTGTGCTGGTTGCCAACTTTGTGACTATGATAAAAATCACTGAATAGGCTCAAAAATGGTAAATTTATTGTCTGTGAATTCCCTCAATAAACTTTTTTCTTTTTTTTAATCTCATCGTCTGGTTTTCTGGCCACATTCTCTACTGAAATAGTAAAATCAAAACCCAATTGGGTTTCTGCCCTCTATTTCATTTCAGTTGGAAGTTGCCAACCTGTGTTTTGGCTAAACCTCCCTCTAAAGACATCCCTAGGGCAGGGTATTCTTGGTAAGAGAGCTCTCAAAACTGGGCAATTTATTCTGAGGTCTCTCAGTATGGGCAATACTCAAGAAGCTCCTCATACACACTGAACTGGTATACCTATTTAAATTATAGATAATATGCATAAGTTATATGATTTAAATATTTAGTTACTTAGAACTATGATTCCAGTTTTTTTAACTGTACCATGAAATCTCCAGAAAAGGCCCATGTCTAAAGTCTGCGCTTTAGCACTGCCCCAGTGCCCTGCTCACTGCTGGTGTCCCATGTGGTCCTTTGTTTCAGAGGTTGATGATACCCTACTGTGTTCTAAGTGTAGGCTTTATATTCCAGTTCCACCACTTACTTAGCTTTCTGACTCTGGACAAGTTGCTTAAACTGGGAACTTCAGCTTACTCATTCCTGGAATGAGGCTAGCAATACCTGCCAGTTACTATTATTTTAACAAACATAAAAATGCTGGTCACGCTTTGAATACAGCATCTGGCACCCAGAATTGTGAGGCAACTATTGTCTGTATATACTGTCCTTTTAACAGTGCCTTGACTAACTGATATTAATCAGCTTCCTCATCTGTAAAAATCTACATCAAAAGATCTCTGATAGAATAAAAGGGAAAAGGGGGAAAACTCGCTAGCACACAGCAAAGGGCTCAAAAAAACAAAAAAAGTTCCTCCCCCCACCCCCACCCCATCTCTCCGGCTAAGGCAATTTCTTTACCATCATCCTACAGCCTCAATGTGCTCCTAGCTGAAACACATAAATATCGCCGAGCAGCTTCCAGACACATCTGTGGACAAACAAGGGATGAATGTCCCCGACAAGGCCAACCACAACTCCAAGTCAGGGAGCCATTTTTTTCTTTTTCCAGTCAAGAAAACGAAAAGGTGGACGAGATGTAAATGAGTAAAAGACTCCCCTCCAAGATCCCCCTTTTCCTGGGACGGCCGGGTCCCTGCACAAAGACGCGTTCATCACAGGCAAACACCTTCCCTTCTCTCACCCCACCCAGTCAGTCAGCCGGGAGGTGGGTGGAGGTCGGGGTGGGCGTGGGGCTCAGGGCCCAAGACCCGGGCTTGCGGAGGTGGAGGTGGGGGTAATGAGGACTGGACAACCTCAGGGGAGCTAGGCACCGGGATTCTATGGTTCGAGGGTGGGCAGTCGGGCCTCACCTTCGCTCGCTTGCGCCGGCTGGTCCGTCGCCCCTCCGGTGTCTCTGCGATTCCCGTTTCCATGGGGGTCGCAGACCCAGGCACTGCGGTAGGCCCGGCCTGAGGCCCGGCGGACCCCGGCGGCTCGGCCAGACCGCCCGGGGGCGAGGCCCGCGGGGGCTCCTTCTTGCGGGGAGTGCGCTCTCCAGCCGCCCCCGGCCCCGCCTCGCCAGGGCCGGACAGGCCCGTGGGCGGTGGGGCCACCTCAGAGCCGTTCTCCGCGCCACCCGCTACCCCCGCACCGGCCTCCGACCCGGCAGCCGCCGCCGCCGCCGCCGCGGCCGCTGCAGCCGCTGCCTTCTTCCCAGACAACATGTCGGGCCGCCTGGCCGCCGACGGCCGTAGGGGCCGCCCGGTCTGTCGGTCCGTGGGTCCGGCGCCGCCTCGCCGCACTTCACACTGTCCGCGCGCTGCCAACCGCCGCCGCGTACGCACGCGCTGTGCGCGCTCCCGCCGCGCACGGACAATAAGGCCCGGGACGCCCACGGCCCCGCCCTCCCCGCTGCCATAGAGTGGCGTCCTCGAGGCTAGAGCGGCGCCACGGCAAATTGCGAGAAGCTTTCCTAGAGCGTCTCCTTAGCCTTCGGGATCCGTCCTGGGACGGTTCTCATTCTAGGGCTTCTGGGCCAGACTGTACATCCGAAGGCGACCATTTCCTCTAGAGACTTGCATGTATTTATAAATTCATTCGTTCATTTACTCATTCATTAGTTCAACTAGTATTAATATGCTTACTACGTGACAAGAGTTTCAAGTTCTTGCTTTCAAAGAGTTTACAGTCTAGTGAGGGGAAGACACTGAAATGTAGCTGGTAGATCATCTTATTTACTATTCATAATTGTCCTGCTTGGATGGATTGGCAAAATCTTGGAGCGCAAATGAATTTCATGGTAATAAAATGGACAAAGGAGTCCAAATGGAATTGTCATTTCTTATTGGACTTTGTTCATACTCTTCCTTCTATATGGACCCTCCCCCCTCCCCGACATTTGCACTTTCGCACTTGCACCTCCTCATACTCCTGTGCTCCCCATCCCCATTGCACGTGACAGCTTTCCACTCCAGGTTAATTCTAATGTTTCCATTAGAAACATTACATAACATAACAAACATTGCATACATTACATTACATAACAATCGGCCCAGATTGTTAATCAGTCAGTTTAGTGCTCAGTCGTGTCTGACTCTGTGACCCCATGGACTGCAGCCCGCCAGGCCTCCCTGTCCATCACCAACTCCTGGAGCTTGCTCAAACTCATGTCCATGGAGTCGGTGATGCCATCCAACCATCTCATCCTCTGCCTTCCCCCTCTCCTCTTGCCTTCAATCCTTCCCAGCATCAAGATCTTTTCCAATGAGTCAGTTCTTCGCATCAGGTGCCCAAAGTATTGGAATTTCAGCTTCAGCATCAGTCCTTCCAATGAATATTCAGGACTGATTTCCTTTAGAATGGACTGGTTGGATCTCCTTGCAGTTCAAAGGACTCTCAAGAGTCTTCTCCAAAACCAGAGTTCAAAAGCATCAGTTCTTTGCCAGTCAACTGTCTTTATGCCAACTCTCACATCTATACATGACTGCTGGGAAAACCATAGCTTTGACTATATGGACCTTTATTGGTAAAGTAATGTCTCTGCTTTTTAATATGCTGTCTGGTGGAGGTGGTTTATTCTTTTAATTCTTCCAGGAATACTTCACTGACCCAACAATGAAACAGGACTTGTGTTCTTCAAGCTTATTTCCATCAGGTCACAGAGTTGTCATTGCTTTTCTTACAAGTTTGTGACTTCAAAGTATAATTTTCAAAAAATGATTCCATTTACGTGATGTTCAAGGACGAGTCCAACTGACCTCTAGCGATAGAATCTAATCAGTGGTTGCCTGGGATGAGGGTGGGGTTTGACTTCAAAAGAGCGGTAAAGAACTTGCTGGTAGTGATGGAAATGGTTTATATCTTGACTGGAGTGTGTATACAAGAGTCAAAACTCATTGAACCACACATGTAAAATAGGTATATTTTATTTTATGTTGATTGTATGTTAAAGAAGTTGATTTTTTTTTTTTTTACTAAGTACATAGAAAAAAGTCAAGTTCTGGAAAATTAAGTTCAGGGAAACTAAAACTATACCATAAAGAAAATCATAGTACAGCATATGGTTCAGCTGTGAGCAACACATGTCCAAAATAACATGAACAATGAATATTATTTTAACCAAAGGGATAGAATTATATTGAGAGAATGGAGAAAAGAGAAAGTTTATGGAGGAGAGGGATGAGAGAGGTTTACAGAAGAGTCAGAATGGGGATAGATGAGGTTCTACATTGAAGCTAAATTCCCATCTTCCATCATAAAATGATAGTATATAATGTTGAAACCAAGTAAAACCCTATGGTACTTGTCCTCCATGTCCTCTACCTGCCTTTTGTCTGAGGAAAATCTTTAGCCAAAGAACAAGAACAAGTTTAATCAGAGAAGTGAGAAATTGCAGAAACAAAGGGTAACGGTCAAAAGAGACGAAATAACAATAGTTTAGTCATCAAGCAAAGTCAGGTACCTTTAGTTCCTTCTCAAAGGCTATAGATAATACTCTGAGCCATATCCTGTGAGCACTTATGGATTCTGAAATTCCCACTAGGTGGAAGAAGTTAACTACATAATGACCAAATTATAACCAAGACATAAGCTGCCACAGTTCTGAGAATTGACCTCAAGGAAATGCGAACAAAACAACCATCAACCATAGAACTGAAGACTAATTGTACTTAAGACAATCAAGATGAACCTGGTCACATCACTGATGACCAATTTCAAGATAACTGTCAGAGATGACTGTGCTGTTTCTACATGTAGCCTCCCCACTCAGACTGGCATCGACCCCCCACATTCCCGCCTTGACGGCATCCAAAAACTTTCCTTTCCAACCTGGCCTCTTTAATGGCTTTTGAGTGGCAAGCAGTCTAACCCCCACTATCATTTACAATGTCAAAACAGAAATTCTGAAATAACAGAATAAGCATACTATTGAGATGTCTTGTTGTTTTTCAGTTGCTCAGTCGTGTCCGACTCCTTGCGACCCCATGGACTGCAGCATGCCAGGCTTCCCTGTCCATCACCATCTCCTGGAGCTTGCTCAAACTCATGTCCATTGAGTCGGTGATGCCATCCAACCATCTCATTCTCTGTCGTCCTCTTCTCCTCCTGCCATCTTTTCCAATGAGTTGGCTCTTCACATCAGGTGGCCAAAGTATTAAAGCTTCAGCTTCAGCATCAGTCCTTCCAATGAATATTCCAGTTTGATTACTTTTAGGATTAATTGGTTCTATCTCCTTGAAGTCTAAGGGACTCTCAAGAGTCTTCTCCAACACCACAGTTCAAAACCATCAGTTCTTTGATGCTCAGCCTTCTTTATGGTCCAACTCTCTTCCCAGGCGGTGCCAGTGGTAAACAACCCACCTGCCAATGCAGGAGACCTAAGAGACTCGGGTTTGATCTTAGGGTGTCGAAGATCCCCTGGACAAGGAAATAGCAACCCACTCCAGTACTCTTGTCTGGAGAATTCCATGGACAGAGGAGCCTACAGTCCATAGGGTCGCAAAGAGTCAGACATGACTGAAGCCACTTAGCACACATGCACTCTCACACCCATACATGACCACTGGGAAAACCACAGCTTTGACCAGATGGACCTTTGTCTCCAAAGTAATGTCTTTGTTTTTTAATATGCTGTCTAGGTTTGTCATAGCTTTTCTTCCAAGGAGCAAGTGTCTTTTAATTTCATAGCTGCAGTCAGTGTCCACAGTGATTTTGGAGCCCAAGGAAATAAAGTCTGTCACTGTTTCCATTGTTTCCCCATCTATTTGCCATGAAGTGATGGGACCAGATGCCATAATCTTAGTTTTCTGCATGTTGAGTTTTAAGCCAGCTCTTTCACTCTCCTCTTTCATCTTTATCAAGAGGCTCTGCAGTTCCTCTTCGCTTTCTGCCTAAGGGTGGTGTCGTCTGCATATCTGCGGTTATTGATCTTTCCCCCTGCAGTTTTGATTCCAGCTTGTGATTCATCCAGCCCAGCGTTTCTCATGATGTACTCTGCATACAAGTTACTATTTAGCTATATCAAGATAAATACCATAAGAAACAGCTAAAAGAATTGGAATTGGTTGTTTGAGTTGTGGAATGTGAGGGTGGGAAGGAGTGAGATAGGAGATGGAAACTTGTTTGTTTTAAACCCTATAGTTCTAGCTGACTAGCTTGCAAGTTTAGTAACTTAGTACCTGTAAACATTTATTTTTTTGGCCAGGCCAAGCTGCTTATAGAGATCTTAGTTTCTCCACCAGGGATCAAACCTATGCCCCCTGCGGTGGAAGCACACAGAGCCCTAATCACTGGACCACTAGGGAATCCCAGTCATTTGATAAAATTTAAAATTTTTGCTAAAGTATTTGCTTGCAACACAGGAAACCTGGATTTGATCCCTGGATGGGGAAGATTCCCTTGGGGAAGGGAATGGCAACCCTCTTCAGTATTCTTGCCTGGAGAATTCCATGGACAGAGGAACGTAGAAGACTACAGTCCACGGGGTTGCAGAGTCAGACACAACTGACTGACTAACAACACACACAAAATTAGATTTTAAATATGCATATCCTTGGACCCAGCAACTCTACTTTCAGAAAAACATTCTAGGAAAAGGTTTAAATATATGTACAAAGATTTAACTTCAATGTGTTTATCTCAGGTTCCTACAGGCCCAACAAGTGGCAACTAACTGAATATACTATTAGAATAATATAGTCATTAAAATTTACATTTGAACATAAAGAACTCTCATACAAAATAATGAGCATATGTCAAAGATGTATTTAACCAATTATTAAGAGGACCAGCAGGTTGATAAAGCTGGTTCAAAGGAAACTATAAGAAAATGATAAATAGTCACTGATCATTAGAACACAGAATGCTGGAATAAGACTGTAAAGTTGAGTAAGAAAAAAAAAGTCCTACAAGGCTGTAAACTGTAAACATTGAGGTTACTTTTTCTATCAGAATTCATTTGCATCTATTTACAAAAAAAATCATTTGCAAATTATCCATTTTTTCCAGAAATAACTAACTCATTTTGAAATTGTAATTCATTTTAAGTTAACATTTAAAAATTGGAGTAAATTACACATAGCATAAAATTTACCGTCTTAACCATTTTAAAGTGTACAGTTCACTAGTGTTGAGTGTTCACGTGATCCTGCAAACAGTCTCAAGAATGCTTTTCCTCTTATAAAACTGTATCCATTAAACAATAACTCATCATTCCCCTCTGTCTGCAACCCCTGCCAACCAACGAAACTCTACCTCTGTCTCTGTAAATTAAATAAAAATTTTTGGACCTGACTGAGTCTTTGTTGCTGCTCACCATCTTTCTCAAGTTTCAGAGGGCGGGAGCTACTTCCTAGTTGCAATGCATGGGCTTCTCATTGGGTAGCTTCTCTTGTTGCAGAAAACAGGCTTAGGTGTGCAGCCTTCAGTAGTCATGGTGCACGGGCTTAGCTTCCTGGCAACGTGTAGAATCTTCTCAGACCAACGATCGAACCCATGTCCCCTGCACTGGCAGGCAAATTCTTAACAACTGTCCCACCAGGGAAGTCCTGTCTCTATAAATCTGATCACACTATTTAGCTCATAAGTGAGTCAAACAGCTTTTACTTTTTGCTTATTTCACTTAGCAGAATGTTCTCAAAGTTTATCCATGTGGTAGCATGGGTCAGAATTTCCTTCCTTTTTAAGACTAATCCTACTGTAGTTATATACAACTTTTAAAAATTATTATACCATAAATAAGTTTTATTTATCCATTTGTTTGTTGGTGGATTTGGGAATTGCTTCCACCTTTTAGTTATTATGAATAATACTGGTATGAATATGGGTATACAAGTATCTCTGCAAGACCCTGGTTTCGATTCTTTGGGATATATCCAAGTGAAATTGCTGGATCAACTTTTCCATCTGACTTTAGAGAGTCAGGGCCCTAATCAATATTAAATCCAATAAAGCAAAAAGTGACCAACAAGTGGGCCAGTTAGACAATGTCCTAGTATGACCGCGAACAAGCCCGCAGAAATCTTTTTGCCTTATTTCCAAGGTTTGATGATTTTTCTTTGCAGTCTCGCTCTCTGTGAGGGGAGGGACTCTGTGCTGCTCACCACTTTGTCCCCAGCAACTAGGAGGCCCGGGAGGATGGCTGAACGGCTGAGGTGTCACAGAGGCCCCCATCACTTGGCTGGTGTGAGGTGTCATGAGATGATGCTTGTGAACTGCCTGTCAAAGTCTGGCACATTGTGGCTGCTTGAGACATAAGAGGAGTTAATATTATTGTTACGCGGCAGCTGGGGTAGGGGCCAGTTATGACTCAGAGGGGGGAGCAGCCATGACTCCTGTCATGGAGGGCAACTGTCCTAGATGGGGGGACTGAGGCAGGACCTCAGGGCCTGGGTGCTCTCAAGCCATAATGCTGGGGGACCTCATGTCTCTTTTTAGGAGTCTCCACGGGATGCTTGCTTCCTCAGGCACCATAGGAGCATTGATGGCTTGGCTGATCAGCTATAAGCCAGCCTTGTTTGGCTTTCTATTCCTTCTGCTGTTGCTTAGCAACTGGCTGGTCAAGCATGAACTCAAACCTACTCCTCAAGAGCCCCAGCAGGTGAGCAAGAGGGGCCTTAGCTTCCGCTGAGGGTGATGGGAGAGTCACAGCTAGATTGTGGGGTGGGGAAGACAGGGACGGTGTCAGGAGAATTGGGCAAGATGGAGAAATCCAACTCTGGTCTAAGAGTCTTGTTCTGTAGCTCCCTCTTGGGTGATGGGGGACAAACCATTTTCTTCATTAAGCTTCAGTTGCCTCGACTAAAAACTAGGGCCCACCCCAGACTCCCCTACTTCATGTTTGATGACAACAGGCTTTGACAACATTAACAGCTTCTTTATGTATTTTTTAACATTTATTTTTATTTTATTTGGTTATAATGGGTCTTAGTTGCAGCACATGGGATCCTTAGTTGTGGCATACGATCTCTTAGTTTCAGCATGTGGGATCTAGTTCCCTGACCGGGGATGGAACTTGGGCCCCCTGCATTGGAAGCATGGAGTCTTAGCCACTGGACTACCAGGGAAGTCTCTAAGAACTACTTTAAAGGGGGGAAATTAAAATGGGTAAAGTTAAAAACATGTGTAACATAGATACATCTCTCAAACTGAATAATGAAGACAGCAGAAATATATCTAGATTATGACATCTTTTATATAAAGTTAAAAAAACATGCAAAACAATATCCTGCCTTGGGTATGGATACCTTGTACAGTGAAAGTACATTAAGGCAGGATTTCTCAACCTCTGCATGACTGACATTTGGGGCTGGATAATTCTCTGTGATGAGGGGACTGTCTTGTACAATGCAGGAATTTTGTCAGTATCCCTCCACCCACAAGGTGCCATCAGCACTCCTCGCCTTTTGTGACAGCTAAAAAGTTCTCCAGATGTAGCCAAGTGTTCCCAGGGGAGGGCAGAATAGCCTCCGGTTGAGAACTGGTATCAAACGGAGTAAAGATATTCATGGAAAAAATAAATGTCAAATTCAGGATTACGGTTGAGATAGGGTTCAGGGATGGAAGGGAACACTGCAGGAGCAGACTCCACAGAGGACATCAATTACCCTTGTGATATTGTATTTCTTAAGCTGATGTAGGAACATGGGTATTTGTTGTGATATTTACTTTTTCTGCATGTCTGAAGTATTTGATTCTTAAATGGCTTTAAAGACCAGGAATTTGTAGTTGAATACTAAAAGAAAAAAAAATTGTGTTCTTATCAACTGCCTGCAGAGAGGGGCGTGACAGATAAAGATGACAGAGATCAGAGCATTGCATGAAACCACTGAGACTTGGAGGTTTTGTGAGGCCCGACTAAATTCTCAGAGAGGCATGCTGGGACTTAGAGAATGAACTTTCGGTTGCCGCGGGGAGGACGGGTCGGGGAAGGGATAGTTACGGAGTTTGGGATGGACGAGTACACATTGCTATACTTAAAATGGATAACCAGCAAGGAACTAATACATAGCACAGGGGACTCGGCTTAATGTTATCTGGCAGCCTGGATGGGAGGGGAATTTGGGGGGAAATGGACATGTGTATATGTATGGCTGAGTCCCTTTGCTGTCCTCTTGAAACTATCACAACATTGTTAATTGGTTATACTCCAATACAAAATAAAAAGATTTTTTTTTTAAAGAGGCATGTTGGGAAAAGCACAAGCTCTAGAGAGAGACATGTTTGGGTTAAGGATTTTACATCCTCTGTAAATGTTTTTTTTTCTTTTCTTTTCTTTTTTTTTTTTAATTTTTATTAGTTGGAGGCTAATTACTTTACATCATTACAGTAGTTTTTGTTATACATTGAAATGAATTAGCCATGGATTTACATGTATTCCCCATCCCAGTCCCCCCTCCCACCTCCCTCTCCACCCGATCCCTCTGGGTCTTCCCATGCACCAGGCCCTAGCACTTGTCTCATGTACCCAACCTGGGCTGGTTATCTGTTTCACCCTAGATAATATACATGTTTCAATGCTGTTATCATCCTCTGTAAATGTAATGGGCCGTTTCACTTATTCCTATGAACCAAAGGCAGCCCTAGGTCCTGCGAGTTTGGGTGATGCTGACAAAGGGCCATTTCCTCCCTGGGCTCCATTCTTTCACTCATGAGATGGGGGAAAGATGCTGGTCATGAAATTGACCAAGATCATGTTTGTAACTCACCTGGCATGGGAAAGGATGACCATTATTAACCAACTTTTCCTCTGTTTGTGGCCATGGGGAGTTTAGGAAGAGGCCGAGCAATCCAAGACTTGCGAAGCCAAAACCAACGGCAAATGCCTAAACACGAAAGAAGTGGAGAGACTGCATGCCTGCTTTGCCCTCCAGGACAAGATCCTTGAACGGCTTATGTTCAGTGAAATGAAACTGAAAGTCTTAGAAAATCAGATGTTCATCGTATGGAATAGAATGAATCACCACAAGCAGTCAAGCCGACGGCGGACTTTTCCAGTAGGAAAACACAGAATGCGGAGGCGGGAGTCTCTTTTCTCCATCCTCTCTGATTGCACTTCCAATTCCCCCTAATGAGGCCGCAGAGACTGCGGTGGGCTGGCCTCTTCTGATGTTATCTTTCCTCAGTAAAGCCCAGTCAGAGATTACTGAATTTTCTTAGTGAATCACAGTGGACAGGACAATTGGAGGCAGAGAGATCGGTCGCCTCTAGAAAAGAAATCTGTACTCACCAGGGCAGCCAGATTGCACCTTCTGACACAGCCTGCTGGGGGCTCTCAAATCCAGCCCTTCCTCTCTTTCCACCTTCGCCCTGGTCCAGGGCCCTCTCTTCCTGTTCACCTTGAGTCTTATAACTGCCTCCCCAGTGTGGTCCCAGCCTCCAGTCACCCCTCCCGCTGGGATCAGAGGCCACAGCCAGCCCTGCCAAGCACCGCTCTGAGACCGTTCACTACCTTTTCTTGGGCCAATGCCTGGCCACAGTTGACAGAACTCCTCACCATGGTGTTCAGGCCCCCCATGACCTGACCCCCTTCCCAGGCTTCTTTCCCAGTTTCTCCCTTTTGCCTGCTTTTTTCCCTATGCCAGAGTATCCTAAGCATCAATCACTAGTATGCTACCTTTGTATTTTTTCCAGAGCTGTGATCCACCTGAATGTTTACCTCAATATTGTCCCTTTGAATCGACTGCTTTTTCCTTAATAAGTTTACCTGTAAAGGAAAATAATAATACAAATAAATAATTTATCTGTAAATTAAAAAACAGTACCATTTGCTTGAAATAGAACCTGTCAAAATAAAGACAATTAAAAGAGAACGATGTTATGAAGCTCCATCCAGAGCTTAGTCGTTCACTTGAAGGCCTGAATCAGTAAAATTTGGGTTAAAAAGGGAGTTTAGCAAGTGTTAGAGCTGGAAAGATATGCAGCCCTCAGCTGAGACGTTTCTCCAAAAAGGAGAATTGGGAAGGAAGTCTCTACCTTGCTGTGTGATCCAGTGTGACTTAGTGCCCTGTGGGTATCCCACTTAAAATCATCTCTCTGGAACTTCCCTGGTGGTCCAGTGGCTAAGACTCCATGCTCCAAATGCAGGGGGCCCAGGTTCAATCCCTGGTCAGGGAACTAGACCCCACATGTTACAACTAAGAGATCACATGCTGCAATGAAAATCAAAGATCCTGTGTGTCACAACTAAGACCTGGCATAGCCAAATAAATAAATATTAAAAACATTGTTGGTAAAAATAAATCAATGCAGTAAGTCATCTCTCTGCCCAAAAGTTTCTTGTGCTCGCCTCAGTTGAGGTTGACCAGCCATCCCCCAAATGCAGTCACATCTCTGCTCACGTGGTTTCTTCCCCTGGAATCCCTTATCTTCCCCTTTCTGCTGTTACAATTCTACGCTTCTTCCACAGTGGCCACCTGCAGAAAGCTTCCCTCAACCGAGCTGTAATGAATCTCTTTCCTTAGTCTTCTCATGGCATTTAAAAAAAATTCATAAAACATTTATTTTTGGCTGTGCTGGGTCTTTGTTACTTTCTCTAGTTGCGGCAAGCGGGGGCAGCAGTGGGCAGGCTTCTCACTGTGGAGGCTTCTCTTGTTGCAGAGCGCAGGCTCTACGGGCGTAGGCTTTAGTAATAGTGGGTCATGGGCTCAGGAGTTGTGGCGCGCAGGCCCCATTGCTCTGCGCCACGTGGCATCCTCCCGGGCCAGGGACTGAACCTGCGTCACTTACTGGCAGGTGAATTCTTTACCACTGAGCCGTCAGGGAAGCCCCTCTTACAGCCTTTTATCTGTAATGCTACCGTTCACTTCAGTTCAGTTCAGTCGCTCAGTCGTGTCTGACTCTTTGCGACCCCATGGACTGCAGCGCGCCAGGCCTCCCTGTCCATCACCAACTCCCGGAGTTTACTCAAACTCATTCCCACCCATTATCTTAGTGATCTGTAAAAAATTATTTCTTGTCATGTTATATATCCATTTTGGGTTAACTGCATTTAACTTCAGGGACCCAACTTGATAGGCCTGACCCATTTCTGGGGAAGGCTGATCTCACAGCAGACAAGTAAGAGGGAAGGTTGGATAAGACCATGGCTTTTGTAGATTTTGTTTAGAAGTAGCACAGGTCACTTCCATTCATATTCAGTGGAACAAAACAAATCATATATGACTTTACATGTAAACAACTTTTTAACTCTTTGAACCTAAATTCCTTCGCCTGTAAAGTGGAGATAGTACTGTTTCCTATATACTGGTGCTATTATAAAAGATAACTGACTAAATTCAGATAAAGTGCTCAGAACTACAGTTTTGAACTTGCCATACTTATATTTGAACTAGGATGCCTGCCTAGTACAAGAGTCTGGGCTCAATCATTACAGGGTATTTTCCCTCCTTAAGATATTTATGGAAGCCATATACACAGGTATAGTTTAATATGATTTTATAATAAAATAAAGATAATTTCCCAAATCTCTGTCAATTGCATTTCCCTCTACACTCTGTTTTTACTTGTAATCCAAAGATGCCTTATCTGACCACTTAAATTGTTTAGAAAAAATTGCAGATTATATTACCATTTATAAATATGTCCCATTGATCTGACAGTAGAGGATTCCATAATTGTGTTCTAAACCTGAAATAGATGGTTTTATTCATATATTTTCTCTCATCTGAATAAGGAACTTGATATGAATGGGAAGGAAGATTTCAAATATTTATTAAGTCCAAAAACAATGTTTTCATACTCAACTTCTATTGTATGATTTCTCAGGAGACATCATGCTATGATCCTGAGANTTGCCACCTCTTCTTAGTATCTTCTGCTTCTGTTAGGTCCCTACCATTTCTGTCTTTTATTGAGCCCATCTTTGCATGAAATGTTCCCTTGGTATCTCTAATTTTCTTGAAGAGATCTCTACCATAGAATGTATCACAACCTGCTTGTACAGATAGCCATACTTCCCCACCACTCTTCAACTAGATTACGGACTCTTTGAAGGCAAGCAGAGCATCTTGTACATCTTGTATACCTACCCATAGCACCTAACACCATGGCTAGCAGTGCTAGCCATGCTCAGTCAGTGCTCAATACATTGAAGGAGGAAACCGACAGAGCTAGGCTCCGTCTTAGGCCAGGCTGGGAACATTAGGCCACACGCATGGTCAGCCTCCCAGTGGACTCTGAACTTTGTGCCCTGTGTCTATAAAAATGGCATACCAATGGAAAACCAGACCCCCCGGATAAAAAAGCCTCAGGACTTGTACTTGGACTCTCCGTTGCTTAAAAGAATATGCTAATTATCTCTGTAACAGAACAAAGTGGTAGATTCCATTAACATGTATTGGGATATGACCACAGGCCTATTGGTAAATATCCACTGTTTATCTATCTTGTGACACATGAATCATGGGTTAACTTTGATCAAATCTCTCTTTTACCTTGTCCAGACTAGTTTCAAGGAATTTGGGGAGGTGGGTTTGAGCAAGTACATTTAGGGTATATAAGGTTTTCACAAAAACTGGTTGGGGTCCTTGGCTAAGAGGAGACTCTGCCTCAGGCCCGCTGGTGTAATAAACTGCACTCCACTATCTGCACTGTCCTTCTGAGTGAGTTTGTTTCTCGGAACGCGTGGCTGCAACAACATAACGAGTATGACTGTTGATCACAGTCGTGCATGTCCTGACATTTTCTTCGCCCTTTCATTTTATGATGACTTTCCTAAATCCCATTTTGTTTAAGAGCAGGATCCCTGGAGCTAAACTCCCCGGTGTCAGATTCCAACTCAGGCAACTCTTTGCTGAGTGATTCTGGACAACAAGTAAGTTAAGTGCCGTACTTCGGTTTCCTCAGTTCTAAGATGGCCTCATCAATTGTCGTGAAGATTAGATACATTATCACAGGTCTTTGCTCAAATGATCCCTTCCTAGTGAGGACTAGGCCACCCTATCTAAAATCGCACCCTCCCCTGTGTGTTGGCATCTTCCACTTGCCCCTCCAGGCCCACTCTCCATCCTTCTGCCTTTTCTGCCAGGGAGCCAACCTGCATCACGAGGTTCCTTTGCTCCTGGTCTTCCAGTTGAGTTTGGCTGAGAGGGAAGGCTGGCAGAGGATGCGAGGGCAGGAGGGGGTTGGGGTGTTTATTGTCTCATGTGGGGTTGCCTGGGGCTGGTTTAGGGCTGGCTGGGTAATCACAGAGGATGCTCTCTCTACAAGACCTTCTTCCCATTCCCTTCTGGTCCAAGGGCAGTAGTGTTCCCCTAGTTACCAGCCCAGGGGTACTGCACCGCCTTGTAGCTTCTCTATAGACTGTTCACATCTTTGTAAACAGTCCATTTTACATAGCTTCGTGAGCCATCGCTAATGGTCTTGCTGCAGGGCCAAGTCTTTGAACCACCCAGAACCAGACCATTAGGAGAATGTCCATATGGTAACCCTTGTTGTGGAGATAGATTCAACAAAGTGACAACAAACTCAATCTAATATTACCATATGAATGAACCTGCAGTAAGGCCCTGCATCTTAAAGAGAGCATCTGGAATGAAAAAGCTGACTAAAAGACAATGTGGTCATGGGGACGTCCCTGGTGTTTCAGTGATTAAGAATCCACCTTTTGTCCAGGGGACGCAGGTTCTATCCCCGGTCTGAGAATGAAGATCTCACGTGAAATGGAGCAACACCCGATGGTCCTTGCCTCTCCCACCATGTTCCCTGCCTGCCTTTTATCTGTGGAAAACTTTAGTCAAAGAATATGTTTAATCAGAAAAGTGAGAAATGTGGAAAGAAAGAAAAACAGTCAAAGGAGGCTAAATAATAATAATGATAGTATGATCATTAAGTATAGTCAAGAACCTTTAGTTCTTTCTCAAAGGCTGTAGATAATGTTCTGAGCCATATTCTGTGAGCTGTCTTATCGATACTCAAACACCAGGTGAAGAAGTTAACTCCATGATGACTAGACTGTACTCAGGACAGAAGCTGCCATAATTCTGAGAACTGACCTCAAAGAAATGGGAACAAATGGACCCAGGAACCGAAGATTAACTGTACTTAAAGCAACCAAGATGAGGCTGGTCAGACCAGTGGTGACCAATTTGAAGGTGACGGTCAGCTGGCTGTGGCGATTCTGCACGTAGCCCCTCCCCCTCACTC